AGAGAGAGAGAGTCAGCAGAGAGAGAGAGAGAGAGAAAGAGAGAGAGAGAGAAAGAGAGAGAGAGAGAGAGAGAGAGAGAAAGACAAAGAGAGAGATGGATAGAGAGAGACGGATACAGAGGCTGAGAGAGAGAGAGAGAGAGAGAGAGAGAGGGGACGAAAGGAAACGCCATGTGATTTCAGCATCTGCATTTTTACACGGCTATCAACCAGAGTTGTTGTACTGTCCTTATTGAACTAATTAAATTTGCTTCGTCATGCCGTCAGCGAACTAGCCAGTACACACATCTCTTCTCATGGCATCCAATCGGTGGCATCTCTCTCTCTCTCTCTCTCGCCAGTGGGGAGGGGGGAGGAGGAGGGGCTTACTAAAAAGAGGTAACAACAGTGTTCGCCCCTAATTCAATAGGTCCCGGGTTCGAATCCGGATCAATCAATGCCTTTCACCCCTGACAGGGTTTTGGCCACATATAAGCTCCTTCCATTTATCTCTGTCCTGGGCCATCCTTCCTAGCTCGTTCCATGTGAGCTTCATTTCTCTCATGCCCCTTTCCACACATCTCCTCCATGTTTCCCGTGGCCTACCCCCGCCTCGTGCTCCCTGTGGTTCCATTGCAGTGACTGTCTTGTGATGTTTCTGCTGGGCTTTCTGAAGATGTGTCCCACTTTCTTAGTCCTATTTCTACTTCTATAATTAATTCAGTATATCCTTTTGTCCTGTCCTTTCCTACAGCTCTTCATTTCTTATTCTATCGGGATAGCGACGGAAAATGTTTTGCTCCAAAATTTTTTCCTGCTCTCAAACATTGTTCTGTTGTCTGCTTTGGTCTCCACTTTAACCCCCATCGCCCTCCTCTGGGCTCTTTCAGCAGCCTTTCTACTGCTACTCATTGGAGTCCTTGGCTCCTTCTTACTGCTGTCTGTCACTGTCCGCCACACACCTGATCTTATGGTAGGTAAGATTTTTAACTAGCCTTCTCGGATAAAGGAGAAAAATCCCGGAGGTCCTGTGTGCAAAGTGCGCACGTTAGATCCCATGGTGGTCCAAAATCGACAAAAGTAGGCTTCGGTCGCCACCCGGGCAAAATTAAAAATGTCCTACCAACTGAAAATGTTTAACGTGTCCCTCGCGCTCTTATTATGACATTATACTTATACAGTTGCGATATATATAACGAGGTTTAACTGTTTGTATACGTTTGTATTTTTTACCTCCCTTCATTGACGCGGTTTCGCTCGAGAAAACAGTGACAACCATGAAACAATTAGCCTAAAAAAACTAATGTTATTATCAATGTTGTTTTGATCCTTTATAAAGTACATTGTCCTATAACTGCACATTTATTGACTTTCAAGCACAAATTTTTCTCTTCAAAACATTTGTTAGTTCGGTCGAACCTGCTCCAAACTCCAAAGGCCACCTGTATAAAAGGCCACTTCCCTTTTCACCCTTTGTATTTTGTCGAAACATTATGACAGCACTGTCTAAGCCGGCTACTTTCTCCGCGACAATGGATGGCCGTCTTCTACAGTTTCGACTGCACGTAACCAGTATTCAAAAGAAATGATATTTGTAGTGTAACAGTAACAGTTCGGGCCTTTATCATAGCACACAGAAGACAAAAGTTCTATTTAAACTAGTGTCTCCGTCTGTCTACTGGGACTCTGTATCCTACTCAGCTCGGGTTAGCCCTGACCCTGACAGTGGTGACAGACAGAACAAAAGCAGCCCTACCCCTAAATGATCAAAATTATGTGCGCGGCAATGGGAAATAATTTCACTCACAAGACTCTTGTCAAGAGTGACTTGATCGCTGACAGTCCAATGAGCAAAAGTCATTATTGAACCTGCACAATGCTCTAACTCTAAAAAAAATGACGGTCTACATGTATTCCCTGATAAGTATTCAAATTACAATACTCTCCCTCTAAGTACCCCATAATCTGCCCCCCCCCCCCTCCTTTCCAAAAAAAACTTCAAGGTTATATATATTTCAAGTGTATAATATGTTAAAAGCATAAACTGCAGTAAAATTGTATTTGTTGGCACTCGATTCATTTTCAAAATTTGATGAGTTGCAATAAAAAAAAATTTTGGTGATATTTTATAGTGCCATTTATGTGTGTGTGTTACTTTTGTCATTGAACTGGTTGTTGTTGTTTTTTTTGCATACAAGTGCATTGAAATACAAATGTACACACACAAGTTGGATTTGGAATTAGGGAAGTGCAAACAACAGCCAGATCACTGGATCATTCCTATTCTTAACTTTCCCTGTTTCTGTCCGTCCACTCAACTTTCTCTCTGTACAATGTATTAACTACCATTACTGCGTTAATGAGTTTTTCTTTAGCTCAAATTCGAGCGCAAACAGGAAAGGATCAAGGATGGAATATTGTTTGCTGAGGCCCACTTAGGAAAACCTGAGTTACTGCCAGTCGACCAAAGATCATTCTTTTCCCACCACTGGCGTCTATTGTATAAGTAGCCTACATGTATAACCATTCGGCCTTTTTGTTTGTTTTAGTAGAGGTTTTACGGGGCTCGCAACTGCATAAGGTCATATGAGCGCCAGAAGATTAGAGGTGTTACAAGAGAGTAATAAACATAAAAAAGAAGAAGGGAAGATACGGACGATAGACGATTGATAGGAAAGAAGAAGCAGACCACACCAGAGCACCCGCCAACCACCTGCATTCGGCTCTTTCGCAGTACATTTTACTTCCAACAGCTGATGCTGAAAAGTAAGGAAATTTGTGCCGTGGGTCGGGGGGCTGCACAGGCTCCCGACCCTGGGACAGCGTCTCGCTGGGGGGGGTATTCCCCCCCCCCCCCCCCAAGAGAAATTGAAAGTTAGGGCTTTCATCATAGGGTTGAAAATGGCACTTGGGAGCGCGTGTGAAAAAATTGCCAACTACCTGTCACGCCTATTGTCTGATTTCTTTATCTATATTTTCCCTTTACTTTACTGGCAATGTTTCAAGGCAGGCTCCCCTTGCTATTGCTACTACTTATTCAATTTCATCATCGTACCACTGACCATTGACTTTTTGCAATCGCATACAGAAGTTTTGATGCTCCAGTAGGGAGGGTATTTTTTAAAATCGAGTTATCTCCATCTGCTGGGTTTTGTATCCCTTTCCAGCCCACGATGAAGCATCTGCCTCATATAGTATTAGTATCTAAATGGCTTTCTTAGGAGGGAGATACAAAGAGAGAGGGAGGGGGGAGAAAGATGGAGTAAAAAAGAAAGAGGGAGAGGGGCACAGACAGTGAAGGATACAGAGAGAAAAGGAGGGAGAAAGGGAGGGAGAGAAAGAAAGAGAATTATGAGAGCAAAGCTACAAAAATACGACAAGGACAGAATGAAAAATACAGTGGAATCCTGTTATAACGAGAGGGAGGGGACCGGAGCAAAATGTCCGTTATAGCGGGGTTCTCGCTATAAGGGATCCAGTAATGAATTCAAGGGAAACTGTAAAGTAGGCTCAATCTATGAGTTTGGTGTTCTGTTTATTTCCTTTCGCTATCTCCCCTGATGTTGATTTTGTTTCAACATGACCTCTAGGTCTTACTTGATCAAAAATCGAATCAGGTTTCTTTCTCTAGCGCCAGATCTAGCGATATATGGACTGACAGCTTGGTGTTGGCGATCAAAAAGAAAGGGCTCTGGGCTAACTCGCCCGCTGTGTTTCCCCCACCTCACCTCACCCTGTGGTGCATTCTGTCTGCTTGCGCACGTCACAATTCGCTCCATCCTTCACATTGCTGTGACCTCTCCATCCCCGCATCGGAGAAGTGAGAGGCATGGCAGGCTTTGATAATCTAATCTAGGCTTTCACTGGCCTATCACACAATGCGTTTTGCTTGTCTGCGCATGCCACACCCTCCCCACTCATTCCCTCCGGCCATCAATGTTGACACACGTGGGCTCTCCCATTCTTTGTTTCGCAAGATCACCAACAAGTTTCTCGACTGGCAAGGTTTTGCATTGTATAATTGGCCTATGTGCTGTGCACAGCAGCAGCAATATTCCGCTATAACCGCCTCGCATGTTTGTCTGATAGCGCTATAGCAGTATTTTATTTTCAAAGGTAAAGAAGGGAAAAAAACGGGGTTTTAGAATAGTGTTTTTATAACAGATTTCTCGTTTTTTCCAGACTCGTTATAAGTGGACTCCACTGTAGAAAACCTGAAAGAGACAGCAACAAAATCAAAGCAAGAGACGTAACTCATCATGTTAACATAAAAATTAACTTTACTCAGAGAATAAGAAACATTAGCATCATCATTATATTCACAGTGTGCTGCATTTCCAATACCACTACACCAGCCCAATGTCCAAGCCAATGTCATCAATAACACTAAAACATTAAGAATCTATGTTTGTCGCAAACAATACACCACTGAAAAAAGGAAAATTACCAGTTGTTATACCTTAATCCAAAATATTCACAAGTTATCTTGTAAAAAACCAACTTGGTTTCATTACATCATTCAGTTTATTAAAACAAATAAATATATTTCAACCCTGATAAAATAGATCCTAACTCCAACATCCCACACATTCTGTTAATCTCTTAAACAAAACGAACTGGATTTTGTAAAAGACTGTGAACATCATTGTAAAACATATAAACAAGAAGTAACACAATATCAAAGTGGACTATTTGTTATTGGAAGTCGAAAACATCATCAATTCAAGAGGCTTGCTGAGCTTAGTGTGGACACATCTTTCAGACGCAACCACATTTGGTCGAACACTTCAGATCAGACTTAGATCAAGTCAGCAACTGAAATGGGAAACACAAGGGAAAAAAGGTGGTAAAACATGTCAATCACATACATTTTGGCTGAGCACACAGAAGCAGAAAAAGATAGGACCTAACTCTAACTCTAACCCTCTCTTACCTACCCCCCCCCCCCCACCCCTTCACTTCCAATCCATTTTTATTACAGTAGAGGGTTTTACAGTGCTCGCAACTGCATAACATCATATGAGCGCTAAGATGTGGATGTCAACAGAGAAGTCCTCACAGGGAATCGGGCTTACTCTGCTCACCTCTCTAGTTTCTACACCACAAAGTCTGTTTCGACTATCAAGGCACCCTGGAAATAGCGGGTCACAAGGGTGTGACAAACATACGAAAGAAGTAGAGGAAATGACGATAGCAAGAATTAGGAAAGAAAAAGCAGCAGTTCCCTGTTGCAGTTCAGGCACAGTTATGAGCATGACATTGATGAATCAGCCCATTTACAATTCTACTGTGCATAAGAACATATTAATTTCCCCCCTTTGGGAATGGCCTAAAGACACTTCAGTTAGTATCACCGCCCTGGGGGGTGGACGAGATGTGACAGCAAACTGTTGAACAAAATCTTCTATACCAATGCTGGACGAAAATTACCCAATTTTATAAAATAAAGTGAAATACCATACGTTGGGGTGACAAAGGCATCTTTTTGACAACATAAGCGAGTGAGACAGGAGTCAGTTCTTACCATTCATGGGCATTTCATCAATCTGTGTGGCATAGTACTGTTCAATATCTCTCAAGATCCTGATGTCATCATTTTTCACAAAGTTGATGGCCACACCTTTACGTCCAAAACGACCTGATCGACCAATTCTGGAAAAACAGAATCCCATAAAATATGAACAACTAAGACAGGATTGAGCAAGCATCATACATATCAAAGTGCGTCCCCTGTGCCACATGCAAAAGCACACTCTTATCAAATGAAGACTTTTGCCATGTGATGAAATTGTTACTTCATAATTTACTTGGACAAATGCAATAATTTCTTACAAAGGTAAACTTCACTTACATAAAAACAAAAACACTACAACTGGATAACACAAATTTCACAGAATAAAAGAATGTCCTCGTATTAACCCTTTGAGCCCAGACCTCCTGAGGCTACCGTGCCCAACTGCCTGAAGTCCCGAGCGATTCATGCCTTAATTCTTATCATCATTTGAATCACATTCCATATTCTACTCCGGGCAAGGGTAGTTCTCGTCATTACCATCATCTTATTTAGAAAGATCTTCAAAATAATAAAAAATGTCCTGTGTAGTGGGAACTGTTTTCTGTGCACGTTTAGTCCCAAGCGGGCAGGGTTTGAGATAGGGTCTCACTACCAGTGTACCGGTGGCTAGGCATAAGGCAATAGGTCACGCGCACCACCTAGGGCTAAAAGGGTTAAGCAGAGCGCTTTAATGAAAGGAACAAAACAAGGGAAGGTGACCTCTCTGTGTGATCAATCTTTAGTAGAAAAATTACAGGAGCAGGGTTGCCAACCTTTGGAAATAAAAAAAAAGAGGAAAACATTTTCCACCTTAGACGGATGCCCTGAACTCACAGTTCAAGGAAGGTTGTAGCTGTTTACTTGATGGTATTTCACTCTATTGATAAATCATCACTGAAAGTTATAAAAATAATCTGTAAAAAAAAGAAATTGGACGCTTACATACGATAACAAACAGGTTACAGCTTCCCAGTATCTCATCTGTCTGTCCCGCAAATCAAAGCCATTATCTCACCACCCGCTGCTCACGGGGAGAGGAAAAGAAACATATTGATTGGGTGAGTAAGCCTAATGACCACTTGTGAAGTACAATGACAACAGAGGGTTACTGTGAGCAAAAAAATTTTTTCTTCAAGGGCAGTTGGAGAATCAGCCATGAGGAATGACGGATTAGCCACAAATTCCTTTACGTCAACCTGATCTGCTGGGTTTTTTGTTTTTTTAAAAATCTTGTTGAGGGAGAAATGTATCAATGTACTAATTCCACTCATAATACCACAAAGTTACAATGCATAAAATGAAGAAGGGAGAAGTCAGGGATATGAAATCCCTTCTTTTTAACAGGAATTTCATACTAAATGGCTTCACGATAAAGAAAATCTACTTCATTAAACTGAACCTACTGACGTAAAATCACGACGGCCAGACTGGACAACTGAACATTTGGACACAAAAGAAGTAAGAGCAGATCATACAGTGAAACTCGGATTCAAAGAAGGGAGATGGATTTCTGCGTTTTTAAAGAATTCATTGAAAATAACAAAATAACACGTAAATGAGCAAACTTGGGTTCAACGAAGTCACTTTCAGGGCCAACAGCTCTCGCAGTGTGGCTTCAAAAAATTTTCAGCCAAAATTAAACCTATTTTATCTACTCTATTCCAAGGGAACATGGTTCATTATACGCTTATTAGCCTAGCCTATTGCAAACATTATCATATGCAACCAATCAGAGACTTTTCCCCCCCACATCAAGTGTGTTAATGACATGGGCGTAAGATATGACAAGTCATAGCGTGCGCTGGGGACGGGCAGGTGGCAAGTACAGATGTGATTCTTCGTGTGTGTGTGTCTGAGAGGATTGGTGCAGGAGTGCGGGCAACTAAATAATGAACGGCTAGCTTAGACTGAGATCAGCATATATATAAAAGAATTGAGCGCTGGTTTGTGGAGGAAAAAACAAAACAAGTGTTGCCTTATGGTAGGCCCTACACGTATCACTGTATGAACACTCGGATTCAACGAAATTAAAGGTCAGGCCCAACAACTTTGTTATGCCCGAGCTCCACTGTACCAAAGTACCTACTCCAGAGCCATTACCACCAGCAACAAGCTGGGCCCCCAGCTGAGCGGAACTAATGATATTTCTTTTTAAAAGCCAACATCCTGACAGGGATCTTATAATCATGCCATTGTCAATGAACCCTTTCTGTTCACATTTACTTCTTGAATAGGTAGGAAGAGTGCAATAACATCAATTAATGAGCAGAAGGTGATTATCTTTACCGTGAAACAGAGAAAACTGGGAAATAAAAAAGTACAACTCTTTCCAATAAACGAATAGAAGGGCTGAGGGCAAGAGGGCTAAAACAGTACCCATGCATAGGCAACCCAAGTCTCTTTAAATAAATAATCACTAGTTTGGTTCAGCTTCAATACCAAGCGAGATCTCCCATCCTCATTCCAAGAACAGTAACGATGTGCCAGACTGACCTGTGAATGTACAACTCTCTGCTGTTGGGCAAATCATAGTTGATGACCAGTGACACTTGCTGTACGTCGATGCCGCGAGCCCATACGTCTGTCGTGATCAACACTCGACTGGAACAGGAAAAAGTTCGGTCTTTAATAGCACAAAGAAGCACATCAATGCCATGTAGGCACTTAGTGTAACAGGAACAATAGAGAGAAAGAACATAAGGGCTAGCCAGCAGTGCCCTCCAACTACCCACATCTAAGACCTTTGAGATGAAAGGAGCCAACGAGAAAAAAAATTCACTTTCATAAGTATGTCCAGAATAAAAAAAATAAAAAAAAAGGCCCTAAAATACTACAATGGAAAAAAAACCCACCAAAAGACAGAAAGAAACAAACAAAAAGACTAGAACTCCCCCCCAAAAAAGACAGACCAGGAAAAATATACAATAAATGGCATTTTTTAAAAAGCCAGGAGAAAAATGCAAAAAGAAATATCTGATGAAAACCCTTCTTATAGATCCCCTAAGAAAATCCAGTCCTCACCTTGCTCCTGATCTGAATTCTTTCATGATGGTCTCCCTCTCCTTCTGTGGCATGTCACCGTGCATGGAGGATACTGTGAAATTTGCTTCTCTCATCTTGTCTGTCAGCCAATCCACCTTCCTTTTGGTGTTGCAGAAGATGACAGCTTGTGTGATCGTAAGTGTGTCGTACAAGTCGCACAGTGTGTCAAACTTCCACTCTTCTCTCTCCACAGCCACAAAAAACTGCTTGATGCCTTCCAATGTCAACTCATCACTGAAATACACATGCGAATTCATAAACAAAATCTCTATAAAACTGACAATATCTTCAGCCCCCACCAACACCATTTAGATCATTAAGGAGACAGGCTGTTTCAATTCTGCATTTACATTCACTAGCAACATATAATTTTTTGGTAAGTGTTTTACGGCACTCGAAATAGCATGCGTTCATCATATGAGGGCGCAGGTAGGTAATAAGCATTTTCAGTTTGGCAGGAATTAATTTTGAATTTTGCTAGGAGTGGCGGCCGAAGCCTACCCTTAATGATTTTTGGACTGCCAAGATATCTTTTAACGTGCCCATGAGGCCCCCCGGATTTATTCGCCATTATCCGAGAAGAATAGGGGTTAAATTTTACCTACCAGAAAGTGGAGATGAAAGCAGAAGACAGAACAAGATTAAAGAGCACGAAATTACGAGAAAAGAGAACATTTAGAAAATTTTCCACCCCTGTTGCTCCCTTGCAACATATAATTTTAAAACGCATGTGCTGATGCAAAAGTACAGAGAAAAAAAGTCACGCCTCAAAGCCGCCCAAACATTCGCATCCATTCCCGTACTTATTTTCAAAATCTTAATTCTTTCTTACACATAGATTAACACAGGCTATTCAGGCGAACAACCCACTTCTTGCCAAACCATAAGCACCCAAAGAGTGACAGCAAAATACACACCTTTGCCCCCCTCTTAAAAATGCTAGAATCTTCAAGGTGACACAGCACACAATAAAATTTGTTATATTACTTATAGGGAGCACTTGCAAAGATGCTAGTGGCCACCAATTCTCACGCACCGTTTGACCAGGATACGGATTGGATCTGTCATGAATTTGTTGGTCATCTCCAGAATTTCATGAGGCAGTGTAGCAGAAATGAGAACAACTTGTGTGGCGGGTGGTAAGTAGCGATAGACATCATAAATTTGTTCCTTGAAGCCTGGGGAAATGAGAAAAACACACTGATGAAACATTTTGGAAAGCATTAAAAACTGTGAGACAAGAACACATAAGGCTGTGCACCAGTTAAAAGGAAAGAAAAACGACATTTTAACCCTTCATGCAAAGGGCAGTGAATTTCACGATATAACTTAGATTTGCAAGTTGTTTGAAATTTTGGGGAATATGGAGACGAAGAAGGAGACACTATCGGAGACTCAGGGTCCGAATTTGTCCCGAGTGGGCCAGAGCCAGACAGCAAGTCTATTGACATAGAGACCAATGAGACTTATCCTGGCTTATGAGCTGAGCTGAAAATCAGTGCTGACAGTAGGGATGCACGCTCCCCCTGGCAATGAAGGAATTTTAAAATTATACAAATAAAAGACAATATTTAACTTCATTGTGGAGCTGAGATTTATTTCAAGCAAGTGTCGATATAAACTTTAATTTAACAGCTGTAACACAGAACTAGTAGCCCCAAGACTTAGATGCTACAAGTTTTTTGAAAAAAGAAATCTGTACTTTATATGCTCCTTAACCCTATCCATCTATTGTATCCATACGACATGGGGAACTCTGTGCCCCCACTTTCTAAAGAGGAAATTTACTTGTTAATTCGATTTGAATAGCAGTCTGTCAAAACAATTTTTTGAGAAATGCTGAAAATTTCAAAGAGGTCTTCGCACTAGAAGTATTCTAAAATGTGAAGAATACAACCCCTGGGGTACAAAATTATCCCAGGCGTACGGATAAGGTTAAACTAATTATCCATATAAGAGAAATCAAAGGATGAAAAACATAATCTTTACCCTTTTTCAACATTTCGTCAGCTTCATCCAACACGAGAAGCTTGATTGAGCGAGTCCGAAGATTCCTCCTTTTGATCATGTCTGTGAAGAACAAACCATAAAGGTGTTACAAAATAAAAGATTTTCAAAATCCAAAACAACTGCATAAGTAGACACGCACATCACAAAACCATTCACAGGCTGCAAATTATTTCAACCATAAACACTCCATGCTTGTCTCTGCAGCGACATTTTCGATCATTATCACCTAGCTGAATCTTACACTTGGTTTCCAACATCAGCGATACACTTAGCGACGTACACAGATGACTACATCTTTTTTCTAGTAACCCTGCGAGAGATCAGGGAGTAACTGAGGCTTAGATCTTCATCTCACATCATTGCAGTTGATTTCACACACAAGGCCATTTTAATTCAGTTACCTGTATCTTTAATACTGACTAGAGCGGCCCCAGCTTTTGAGTAGGACTTGATTTTGAATTTTGCTGGACAGCAGCCCAAAGGGCCTACTACATGTATATTCAACTTGTAAAACCACCAAGGGATCTTTAATGTGCATAAATTTAACATTGGACCTCTACAATTTTTTAACCTTATTCATGAAGACTAGGTGCTCGAATTAATCTACCCCAGGACCAGGATGTGTAGAAAAATGAGGAAAAACCCTGACACTGGTGGAGGTCAAACTCCAGGACCCAGGGTCGACAGGTGAACACCATCAGTGTAAAGCTACTGAGCCCCCATGACTATGTGATCATCTATCTTCAGAGATTTCACTTTTCGACCAAAAGCACATTTTTCATCACATCTCAAACACACTACACTACAACATAAAATTTACAACTGAAAGATAAGAAGATGAAACATGCATTTGAGAAAAAATAGATAAGTCTTGTAAACAATTTAAAAAGGACTGTGACAATACCACTGAATCTGAATGCCACAATCTGCAAAATGAATATGAGGTAGTCATTAAAAACACAAGCAAGGGATGGTCACTGATAAGAACAAATTAAGAAGAGAACATTTTGCTCTCACAGTCAGAAAAAAAGAAAGCAAGATGTTGAGGTAGACCCAAGAATGACGAATTCTTCTCATTCATCTTTAAATTAAATGGACATCCCAGTCTCTAGTGCCAAGGCTGCTGTTTGCCACAGGTCCTCCAGGTCCCTAAAGTTTTGGGTCTCTCTGCCCAGGTTTAGGCCAATATTTCTAAGTGCCCCGAACATTGGGCAGGCTTGCAGCAGTTCTCTGGTGACTAGTTCAGAGCACTTGAACAGATGGGTAACAGGAATACAATAATGTAATAAGATAATGTATGTCTCTTTTAGAGCATTGGAGCAGAGAAATGAATAGCGAACCATGATCACTGAAATGTTTCAGATCTACCACTTGAAGAAAAAACAGGAGAAGATAGACTTGCATGTGAGCCTCAACCAGATTGTCTGAAAATTTTGCGCAACCCCCTCCCCCCCAACAAACACAATAAAGAAGAGACTTAACCCTAACCCCAAAAAGAACCTGCAACGGGCCTCATGTAAAAAGGCCAAAACAAGTCCTAAATGAAAAAAAAAATTTAATTAAAAAACCACACTCCAAAACAAACAAGGAGCATATAGATCTAGATTCTAGATCTAGATGGCTTTCATCTACATTGCTATAGGGTTTGATACAATAACACAAAAGAATTGGAATATGAATCCTCCATATAGATCTAGTAATAATAATAATAATAATTGCATTTATATAGCGCATATCCATGCTCAAGAGCTTGCTTTATGCGCTTTACAACTATTATTACCCCAGCAGACCCTCTGAGAAGACTCAGAAACATTCTCAGCTTCCGCGGAAGCATACAGTGCAAGCTGCGGATTTCACGCGCTCAAACACTATCACTGACAAGATCTTTCACTGTCTATAGCCGGGTACCCATTTCCACCTGGGTGAAGTGAGGAAAATTTGTGCAAAGTGCCTTTCCCAAGGGCACAATGTCGGACCCCTGACGAGATTCGAACCCACGACCTTACGGTTGCGAGTCCGAGAGCCTAACCACTAGGCCACCGACGCCACTAATCTAAATAAATCTAGATCTAGATCTTGTAGAACAAGTGAATAGGAATAGGCCTTAAACTAGAAATCCGCATCCAATTCCGAACAGAGGGACTCAGCTGAGTCTAGATTCTAGATCTAGATCTAAATAAATAAATAATTCACGCACCTGATGAAATGCTTATTTTTACCAATATTAATATTACAGCACAACCTATGATAGGGTTTGACACAATAGAATTGGAATATGAATCCTCCATTGAGGTCTATAATGATCTATATAGATCTAGATTCTATTAGAACAAGAGAGTCGGACTTGAATGAATCCACACGATCTGAACAATTGAATTAGTCAACAAACGAAATTCAAAATGGCCGCTCGAGCATGAAACTGAAAGTAGATAATTTAGGTTGTCGTCATTTTTCGTATGCGCATTTCTACTTAGGTTCCGACAATTATGTCGGAAACACCGACGTCGGCACAAAAACGAAAGTGCCGACGAAGCCGAAAGGAGAAAAAGGGGTCGCTGGCAGTCGGCCAGACCTCGCACTACGCACATTGACTGATACAGGCGGGCCTAGCGATAGCATCGGCCGGTTCGCGGGTCGGGCCGCAATTGTCGGATTTCAGACGATTGTCTGCAAACATGCAGGTCTAAGAAGAATCTGCCAACAACAAATACTCACCAAACACTCTGCCTGGAGTCCCTGACACGACGTGCTGACCATAGTCCAATTTTCTGATGTCATCCCCAACGTTTGTGCCACCAATACATGCATGACACTGGACGCTCATGTAGTCCCCGAGAGCCAGAATCACCTGAAAGGGAATACAGGAAGAAAATTGTCAGATTCAACTTCCTGTTTGATATACATTATGAAAAAAAATATTCATAAGAAATTCTTAGTAACAGCACAGGCAAGATCTGTCCATGGACAAAAAATTTCTCGATACCATACAAATAAAATTTGTGACGTGTAAACAGTAAAGCATAGAAGATGACATCCTTCCCACACCTTTCTAAGGACTAAAAACAAATTGTGTAATAAAGAAGTAAAATCTGAGACTAGTCTCACAGTCATTTCAAGTCCTTGGTGCTGCCAAGAGGCTGGAAGGAATAGCTAACATAAATTAACAAAATACACCCTGTTGATGTTACACCCCAAACTCACAACAACAAAAGACACATATTGTCCTTCACTACATTCGCTCTCAGAGAGAAGCATCAGTGGAGCTCTCTTGCTGGTATAAACAATGTGGAGAAAGATGCTGCATCAATTAAAGTTCAAATTTATTCCCAGACAAATTTTCCCATAGAAAAACATTATAATATAAACCAATGATTAAATTTATTTTGAAAATAAGCACCTTCTGAATCTGATTGGCCAATTCTCTGGTGGGTGACAAAATAAGGGCCTGTGTTTCTCTGATTTGAGTGTCCAAACACTGGAGGATCGAGATGGAGAAAGTAGCTGTCTTGCCTGTTCCTGACTGAGCTCTGAAATAGTCAAAAACAATCAAATTGATAAGTAGGAAAAGCCATAAAAAAACAGAAGATTCATCAGTAAATAGCAATGCATAGTGACAGTATTAACAGCATAATGTACTTGTGGGCAAGCACTGCATCAATCATGTAATTGGGAACACTCAAAACAAACCAAAAAAATTTCTTAGTACAGTGATCAACATTTTAAAAATTCAGTCTTCCTTCAGAAAGCAAAATATACAAGACTCAAAAACAAAATATAAAAGCTAGAAGTTCAACATACTGGGCAATGACATCTCTGCCTTTGACGATAGGCTTCACTGCTCGCTGTTGAATGGCAGATGGCTTTTCAAATCCTGAAATGGAAAAAAGGAAATATTCTCAGTACTTAGTGACATGGCACAAGCTCATTTATTTTATGATCAATGTGGCTATAGATTCTATGTGTGATCTGCAGCAAAGCAATACCGCAGTTTGATCCCCAAAGCAGTGCATATGTGTGCAGGAGTGAATGTATAAATTTAGCCAACCTAAAAATATCCATTATCTCATGTCATAGACTAATTATTTGCAGTGGATAAAGTCAAAATTTGTGTAAAGCAGATACAAATGAACAAGAAAAGGCGATCAACCCGCAGCTCCACTTAATTTTCGAACAACCGAGGAAAATTGCAGAAACACGGCAATTTCTCCGATTCTAAAAATCGTTCAGGATTGTACATTCGCATGTCATTAGTTTAACCTTCCCACTGATTGGTTGCCGAGTATCATTTATTTTCGTTCGCGAGTTTTCCCGTAACTATATTAAGAAGAGAGTCACTTCTGATCCCAAGCGGCCCAAAAATTACCCCTCGCCCGATTTCTAGCCCAAGGCATTGCTACATGCGACTAAGCGTAGAACAACATAAACTATTTTTAGGTAAGACGACCATCTTCTGTGATGTCAGACCAGGATACCCCTCCGATCACGTGACTACATAAAAAAATAGCCAACCGTCTGTAACCAAAGATCATGTAGAGAATCTTTGAAGGCATGACGGTTTGGTGTTCCATGCGCTTTTTTATAGCCTTTGCGTTAACAATGTTTCAATTTCAACCATCACTACCGGAATTTGGAAAAGTTATGTACATACTGGAAACTTTGCAACAAATCAGTAGAGTATGGCTGACGGGCTGTAGTTAGCCGCAAGTGTGAAATTTTAGACCTACCGTGCGAAACACATTGATACGGATAGTAGGTCAAGCCACTGACCAAACATGTCGTTCCAGGCGGTATCTCCAAAGATTCTTTACTATTGTTTGTTTGTTTTGTTTTTGTAAAGTGTTTTACGGCGCTCGCAACTGCATAAGGTCATATGAGCGCGCGGGACACACCTAATATTTTTAGTTGGTAGGAAATTTTGAATTTTGCGCGTGTGGCGGCCGAAGCCTACTCTTATCGAGTTTAGACCACCAAGGGATCTTTAACGTGCGCAACTTGCATACGGGACCTCCGAGATTTTTCGCCCTTGTCCGAGAAGGCTAGGAGTAGATCTTCCCTACCAGAAGATCAGGGGTGTGGCAGAAAGACAGCAGTAAGGAGGAGTCAAGGAATAGCAGTAGAAAGGCTGCAGAGAGAGTCAGGAGCAGAAAGTGGAAATTAAAGCAGACAACAGAACATTGTTAGAGAGCAGGAAAGGAGGTGAAAGGAGACAATTTTAGAGAAGAAAATTTTTCGGTCGCTACCCAGATTCGAACCCGGGACCTTTGAATGAGAGGCCAACACCTTAACCTCTAGGCCACGAGAGCCCCCGATTCTCTACTAGAATCTAGATTCTACATGATCTTTGGTATCTCCAAGGCCTTCTACTTCTAAAAATAGTCTGTGGGCATCCCAGGATGTGATGCCATCACATTAAAAAAATTAGCCGTCAATCAGACAGATGCACCGTTCTACGTTTAGCCGCATGCATGTGTGAATGACTGAATGGTGTGCCGAGAAACCCTTCCTTGATTTTGGTTTCACTTTCTTCATCTTGTTTCAATTTGATGAAGCTGTGATAGGTCCAAATATAGATGACGTATTTCCGCCATCTTTTTTTTTTGTCTTCCGGAGTTTCACCAAAGACCCTTGGTTTTCCCTCGCCACGGCTCGCCAGTAACTGTTGACAAGATCTCGATGTGTTCAGTTTTTTTCCTTTGGTATTAGATAGATATCTAATTTGAGTTATCTTTTATAATATAAGGAAGTGGTTATCCTCACCCGGGGTGAGAATAAAAATACGATCTACCTCTCACCCCGGGTCAGACTTGCCAGCGTAGGCTATTCTCACCCGGTGTGAAACAAGACCTGACTTTCCTCATTTCGGAATACTGTCTATCAGTGTGGATGATCCATAGATGTACACTATAGTACTAGATACAGTACGCCCCCCTCTCGCCTTGCTGCGCGATGGCCACATTTGACAGCGGCGTCCACCATGTTTTTTGTGGCAAGTTGTGTGAAGGAGTTCATGCTAAAGCAATGGGCTAGGCATGCTTTCTCTCTCTCTCATACGCAACAGACGAGGCTTGGTTCTTGTTGATATTTTTTTTTACATGGGCGCGGTGGCGTACTATATCTAAATTATTAAATTGCAATAATACGGCGTTCTTTCTACAACTGGATCTACAAATAAATGTATTATTAAATAGATAGAGATAGAGATATGGGCTTTAAAAAAAGAAGAAAAAAAAAACAACCTTTATTTCTTCATCAGCACTTTATCTACGAGGTGGTCTATTTCTTACTGACCGAATCAAAGCGTATAGGGCCTATAGAACTTTAAAAAAGAAGTATGAAAAGATGTGGGTGTCATGGGAACCTCCCATAACCACCCCACCCTCTCTCTCCTCCCGAATCCCAATACCGACACCCCCCCATCCCCCCTCAGATATATGAATTTGGCATTAAATTAAATCAGGATGAACCATAGGAAAAAAAATTCCAGAGTTTTTCAGCCTTTAGGTGTAGGAATGCAATGAAGCTCTTGATAAAGCAAATTCAGTCAAACAAATGATGAATACATGTACTGGCATTTTTAAAATCGAGTTAAACTTTCCCTTGTGACATTGAACAGGAAACTGTATTTTTCATTCATATGTTCACTTTTTAAAAAAGTATACTAAATTATAAGTGGTGTTCTCTTATGTCGGTATTAAACTTTGCTTTATATTGGTTTTAATTTTAAGAACTAAAGTAGACCATATACAGCACTTAAACTAAAGCTCCTTCTATTGCTGTTTTAAGTAAGTCTAATTTTGGACATTAGTAAAACAACTGTGACAACTCTAGACTCACTAAAGATAAAAGAAGTGAACGTAAATGTTGTTTTGTAGCCTAGTCAATTGTTTTTCTACTCAGTGTAGTGATAACTGAAACAAAAACCTTTACTCAGGTGTTTTTGGACAACATTCAATAAAACAAAACAATAAAAAGTACACTTTCAGTTTGATAAAGAAATTTCCTGCCCATTGTGAAAAAGATCTAGCTGCTAGTCAACCTTAACTTCACATGGCCCATAACCTTACTGATGGCTCAAGATCTAGCTGCTAGTCAACCTTAACTTCACATGGCCCATAACCTTACTGATGGCTCTATATGTTTTAAAAAAGAAACCCCGAGTGACTATTTGTGTCTACAAGACATATTATGCACTAAAAATAGATGATGCAATAAAAAAATCCAGACATCATTGAACTGCCTGACAGAACCAGTAAGACGTTAACCTAGAAAGGGACAAGAGGTTTCACATGCTTGCACCTTTAAGAGAATCGCTTTGAATTAAAACATAACGTAAGAATCAAATAAAACACGTAAGACTAAGAGCAGAGACACGCCCACTCACATGTAAACAAACTTTTTAGCCACATAAAAAATGGCCGCCAACAAACTCAAATGTGTCCGTGTCACGTAACCTTGTACGGACTCTAGTTTAAAAGGGGGTAACTGTATGGGATGATCAAATTGAATAAAGCCAAGAAAAAAATGTTATAGCACAAAAGTAAGCTAATTTGATCGTCTTCAAAGATGCTATGGCTATTTCACTTTTCGAATCGAGCCGAACTACGCAGGTCGCCATTTTGTTTTGCCCGGAAGTTCTCGCAAGATCTACTCCTCCCCTCTTTCTCTCTTTCTGAATACTGTCTATCGGTGGACGATTAAATTGACCAAAACAAAGTTTAAAAATGATGTTAAAAAAAAAAAGTAAATTAATTTGGTCGTCTACAAAGATGCTACGGCTAATTAACTTTCCGAATCGAGCCGAACTACGCGGGCCGCCATTTTGTTTTGCCCAGAAGTTCTCGCGCTACTCCTCTCTCTCTCTCTCCACTGCCCAGAGACAAAATTGCACGCTTTTAGGCTAACACTAACAGTAGTACAGTAGTCTCCGCCTAAGATCCCACCGCTTACGATTTCCGGTTCGCTTAACTCTCTGGGCGGTGCTCTCGACATAAGTCGCGCCAGCTTTCCAGTGTAATGGCCAGCGCTCGCGACTTATAGCGCGCCTGTACCCTACGTCATAGATGCCACTATGCACCGTGATAAGTCATCAAGGTTAACCACTCTTTGCTCGCCATATGCCATAAACCCACCAATGGGGCACGTCAGTTCATTGTAGAGTGGAGGGAGACCATATTACCGATTGTGAGCCTTAACATGGGTCACCATAGATTCTTCCCTGGGTTCATCGGTTAAGATCCCGGTTCGCCTAAGATCCTGCATTTCCTTGCTCCCGAGCACCGGGATCTTAGGCGGAGACTACTGTAATAGAACGTTTTTTACGGGGCCACCTCTATTCAGGGTTGGTGATTTTTTTGATTTTTTAAATAAAAATTTAAAAAATCGATTTTTTAAATTTAAATCAGATTTTTTAAAATTTAAATCGGATTTTTTTAATTTAAAAAAAAAATGCCGACTCAGTTTGGGATTTTTGGTGCTAAAAGTAAGTTCTTTTAGTGCAAAATGCATTGTCTTTATTTTAACTAATGATTAATTTAAGCAACTGCAATTTTAGAAAGCCTTAATCTGCTATATCCAGTGAATTATGGCTACAGACAAAAAATGAAGAAAATGTCAGTCTAAAAGGAAGGGGGGGGGGGGGGGGGGGGTAATTATGCATAGATAAACTTGCATTTTATTACAGTGTGTGTGTGTGTGTGCGTGCGTGCGCTTGTGTTTGTAAAAGAAAAAAAAAGCTTATTTCAATTATGAAAAAAAAGTAAATTGAATACAGTAATTATTTTACTACTTACAGTGACAGGGGTGAAAGCAGACTTTTAAGCATGATTATTTTAGTCTACTAAACCTTATATCTGTTTTATAAAACCAAGGAAA